AAGGACGGTAATCCATTCCCATTGGAACGGATTAACCGGTTTTCAATGCATTCCTATGGGAAATGGTGTTTCGCTTAGCGATGTTTTCCCATAGCAATGTTTTTTGGGAACCAATTAACATCGTTAAGCGAGTAACTTGTAATCAATAAACCTGCTTCTTTTTAAAAGCTCAGTACTGAATGGACCTCAGTCTTTCGTAGGAAATATAGGTTGATAAAGAGATCAGCTTGTGGCAGCGTGTTAAAGGGTGTGTTGGGATACTCGTGTGAGCTCTGTGTTTGGTGACAGAAGGACAAGCAGGGGCCACAATTGGTGTCGGCAGCTAAAGAGGGCTACACTTTATCTGGCTTCACAGCAGCCACTATGTTTCTTGGTCTGACACAACCTTCTTGCCTCCAGACACAAAATAAATTCTATTTTCAAGCCTCTGCTTTTTATTTTCCTATCACCTCAGATCTGCTTTGACCCTGGCTTCCATTTTTTATCCACCAGTGCTCCCTTATCTCTCAGAGCCTTGGATTTCAAGCTAGCCCACTGGGTCTCTCAAATCTTGTGGTAAACAAAAAATAATTTTTCCTTTAGAGTCAGTTTCCTATCCTTAGTTCCCCCAGATCTGCGTTCAGAAGCCCCACCACTAAGCTTTTCCACAAAAGCTCTAGCAGGTCACCCACTTCTTTTCCACATACCTCTGGCTAAAAGGTACCCACGACTCCAGAAAATTCACTTTTAAACATTGGCTTTACTGGATTATTTTGTATCCCGCCGCTGGACACCAATTGTAATGTTTACCCTGTGACCCCTCCTTGTCCTTCTGTCACAAAGGCTCACATCGTGTTTTCCTCTCACTGCCACCAGTGGATTACCTCAGTCCACAATACAAATGATGTATATCAGAACACTTGTCTTGTAAAAAGGAACAGAACTTATTTATTGAAGTGAAGCAGATTAAATAATAGCAGGTTTCTCAGGTAAACATTATACACAAGCAAATCATCAACAGTTCTCTCAGTACATACTTCTTTTCTCTAACTATATCATTACCACCTTCTCTATCTATTTTCTTAACCAGCTTTATCTCTCTCAGTATTTGTTTCCCCTCTCTCTGACTTACCAGCCCTTATCTGACTCCTCCTCCTCCCGCCAAACCTCATGTAGCTGCTAACGCCACCTCTCCAGTCCTCTCATAGGCTCATGCAAATCAGCTCATGAATATGAATAGCATGAGTGACATGGGCGATTGTCACACCTTTCAATAAAAAAATACAACAATAAAATGTCAGGGAAAGATGGCCAGCTTAGTACCTCACCTAAGTTGCCAGGGCCTAGTCCGCAGAAGCGAAAGAACCCTGAGGGAAAGTTTGACAAGAATAAAACAATAAAAATAAAAATAGAAAAGATGATAGTCAGACCAAAAAGGTTGACTGCATAAAACCAGTGGAAGCCACTGAAGGAGGCTGTAACAATGGTTCTGTCTCCATGGCAACTAGCACAACAGAAAATTCTGATCTGCCACAAGCCAGTGCTTTCTTATAAAGGTAGATAATACTTTACTACAGAACACTGGTGAGAAAATTCTTAATGAGACGTCTTATGTGAGGGTTGTTGATTCCTGTTGCCACATAACCCTGTGTCATCCTGATGTGGTTCCTAAAGAACAAATACTTCAGGGCCAAACTGTTGCAATCAAGGGAATAAGTTCTATGCCAGTGATTTTACCTATGGCTAAAGTAAAGGTGAACTATAGAGATTGGGTTGGAATCTGGGATGTGGCAATTTCTGATCAAATTCCAGCACCTTGTTTGATCGGGTTAGATCTCTTCAAGCATGTGCAGAGTGCTTTTGTAGTAACATATTCCCAGAGAGAGCAACTAACAATCCCTGAGGGAAAACTTCTGAAAGTAACCTGGAAAGCCCCAGTTTAAAAGAAAACTCTGACGTGGATGAAATGGCAGAAGTTTCATTTATGAAAAACCCTAATAATTCATCATTTGAGAAGGAACATAAGGAGGATACTACCCTTACACAGTGCTTTGAGAAAGCTAAGTGAACTCCCTCTTCATTAATGCCTGAATCCCCAGAGAGAGAGAGAATAGAAAACAATTTGTTATATAGCACCTCAGAGGGGTGGAGATGGAATCCTCAAACATCTTATTGTGCCTGAAAAATATAGAGGCAAGGTCTTAAGCAAGGCCCATAGTGATGCTTTTGGAGCTCACATGGGGATATCGCATACCAAACAAAGAGTTGCAATGAACTTTTACTGGCCAGGAATGGGTCAGCAGGTTAAGCAGTTTTGTCAGACGTGCGACACATGCCAAATGGTTGTTACTGGGGATGACAAGACAAAGGCTAAACTAAGCTCATTGCCAGGGATCTCAACCCCTTGCCAACATGTGGGTCTGCAAAAGTCCTTAGCAATACTAGAGCAAAGCTTGGAGAGTGCTCAAGAAAACAAGAGGGGCTGGTGTGATGAAGAGACACAGGAAAGAGCATTCTGTCCTGAGGACATAGAGGGGAGTGAATTGCAGTTAGCATGGTCAGGACCTGCAGATGTGTCACAACAATACTGGAAAGCTGAAGGGACTAGTACTGGGAAGGCTCCTCATGCAGCTGCAAAGGCACTGAAAATCTTGCAAGGCAAACCCCTACAGGAGAAACTAGCAATTAAAAGGATAGAACCAGATTATGAAAGTCTTGACACCTCTGACATAAACCAAGTGCCTGAGATTTCACTTAAAAGAAATTTGCATAGGAATCTTGAGGTGACCCGTGATAGTGGTTCCCCACCTATTGCACCTAAAGTACCTGTGGGCCAGTTTGTGGGTGAGAATGAAAGCCAGAGCAATAAGATCTCAAAGAAGGATGCAGCCATAGATGTTCTGGAGGAGGGGAAGAAGCTGCCTACCCTTTCCCCAGCTGAGAAAGTGAAGCCACGAGCCAGAAAGAAAGCAGGCTTCGCCTGGAAAAGGTGAACGGAGGAAATCCAATGGACGTCAGAGTGCCAGGTGACTGTCGATCATTGGAAGAGAGTGTGGACTTTTAAACCAGTCTTTGTTGCACCGAACTCAAATCGGGAATTCCTCAGCTGTGTGAGTGCATTGAGCATCAGATTTGGAGCTGGACTGTGCCAAGTGGATGACAGTGAGAGTCTACGTCCAGTGACTTTTACCACCAGAGGACTTCAACCTCACGAGAGACATTTGTCTGCCCTCAAGAGGGCATACCTGTCTATCGTATGGACCTGGAAGAAGCATAAGTCATACAGATGGAAAAGAAATTTTGCCCTGTACACTGACCTTTGAAATGGTTGAGAACTTTGCAAATGAACAATAACACAGTAAGTTAATAGAATTTTCTTCTGAGTTTGTGCATAGTTGTCGTTTAACCCTCTATTTCCCCCTCCTTTCCTCTGAAGGGAATATAATCCATCAGAAACAGTAAAGACTTTTGGCAAAAAAAAAAAAAAAAAAAAAAAGCAGGGGAAAGAGGGGAGAACAAAAACATTGTAGCCCTTAGGGTCAGACTAGTTTTGTGTGAGCTTGTGTGGATCAAAATCCACCTCCCCATCATAGCTGACTGGGGAACGGTGTGTCCATCCAAAATCTTTTTAAGAATTTGGGGGATCCAGGGCCAGAATATTTGTTCAAGCCCACTTCATTTTCCTTCTCAATCCTAGTGAGTTTTGAGGGCCTGGGGCAGATTGTTCCTAATACCAGTTTCCAAAAAGTGCCTCTGGCCACCCCCAGAAGTAAAAGGCGAAGTAACACTAAATAGAAGAGTTCAACCATTTCTCCGGTGGGTCATGATGATGGCAACAGCGACAATATTTTTTTCACACGAAGTGAGTCCCGAGTTAGAAAAAGCATCTGTCAGGGCTGAGGGGCTATGTTTTGATTGTTGTAGGGTGGGTAATGGAGATGTGGCTGCCCAGTCGCAGCTATGGTGAAACTCCAGATTTCTTCATTGCTTTTTACAGGCATCACTCATTTCTGCTCTATACAGTGATGCCCCCCATCCCACCCTGTACAGACCAAAAGTGAGTGATGCCTGTATCAAGCAATGAAAAAATCTGGAGATTTGCCCCCAGTTATCCCACCCTGTACAGACCAAAAGTGAGTGTTTTTTGTAGAAAGCAATGAAAAATTCTGGAGATTTGCCCCCAGATAAGGAGGCTCTTGAGGGTCCCCTGGACTGCAAAGGAGATCAAACTTATCCATTCTGAAGGACATCAACCCTGAGTGCTCACTGGAAGGACAGATCTTGAAGCTGAGGTTCCAATACTTTGGCCATCTTATGAGAAGACTCCCTGGAAAAGACCTTGATGTTGGGAAAGTGTGAAGGGAGAAGGGGATGACAGAGGATGAGATGGTTGGACAGTGTCATCGAAGCAACCAACATGAATCTGACCCAACTCCGGGAGGCAGTAGAAGACAGGAGGGCCTGGCATGCTCTGGTCCATGGGGTCAGGAAGAGTCGGAAATGACTAAACGACTAAACAACATGTAAGCCAACAAAAGGGGTCACGACTTAACAACTAAACAACAAGGAAGCCAACAAACGAAGCCTTTTTATTTAGTTTTTAAAGAGTCGCCTTGGTCGGTTTTCAGCGTGTTTCGCAAAAGACAAACAACGAACAACAAAAACTGACGGTACTTTTAAAAGCACACAAGAACAGCAACAGATTCGTGCATTATAAACCACATCATCAGACTTCTCTAAACGTTCATTATAAGGCTGCATGGCAAAGAGATTGCAAAAGACTTGAGTAACATAACGATGATAAAGGGCGGTGATTTTTCACGAGAATGAAGATCAAAATCGCCTCCTCCCCTGAAAGCCTATAGTACCCCCTTCCTCTTGCGTAGGACCTTAAAGAGGAGAAGCGGTTCGCTCCTGTACCGGAAGTGCGGTACATAATAGTATGATTTCGCGACGTAACTATTTTCTCCTCTCTGTGGTTGAGAATTGCGGAAGGGGGAAGTTTGTCCCCGACGCACATCCGTAGAGGAGGCGGGGCAAAAGGAGGAAGTGCCTTTCCCGAGAAGCTGAGCGCCTTTTCTTTTTTCCCCCCAGAGTCTTGGTGGAGAGTTGGTTTCGTCGTCGCCAGGAGACCATGTTTCGCATTGAGGGATTGGGGCCCAAGCTGGACCCGGAGGAGCTGAAGCGGAAGATGCGCGAGGACGTTCTCTCTTCGGTCCGCACGTTCCTCCTCTACGTGGCCGTGCTGCGCCTCAGTGAGTGTCCCGGCGCGCGAGGCGGCCCCACGGAGGGCCACGTGCGCCACGTGCGCGTGGAAATCCCGGAGGAACCTCGTTGCTAACTGGAAGCTTTGCATTAATCTTAGAGGTCGCTCGTGGCCTTTGCTTGCGATCCCACCCCCCTCCCCAGTGGTCCTGGTCCTTGTCAGATTGAAATGTCTCCTCGTATTTTTGTTCAAATTTCTCTGGAGCCTGAGTAGTTTGGAGGTTACTGTTGTGTAGCTTTTGTGGAGGAGAAATTGAGTGAAAGCAGATGCCAGTTCGCTGAGTAAAACTAGGTCACTGCTGGCAATAAGAAAACAAGGGGATCCGCATTGTAGTAATAATGTCTGTTCTGCTAAACTGGAGGACATAAAATTGTAGGGCAGCTTTAGAACTCTAAGTCTCATCAGAAAAAAAAGTTTACAAAATCAGAGTGTACCTCTGTGTGGTGGGGGCTGGGAAACTTAATCAGCTAGTTATCTCGAAAATAAAATCATTTATCAAATCAAAAATAAAATCATCTCCATAATTAGGAGTTCACAGAATCATGTCAGTAGTCATTGTATTAGGCGGCTGCACGTATATGATTGTTACTTAGGAATTTTTGGTTGCATTTGCCTGTTTCCAGAGGCGAAAACAGGACTCATGAGAAGGGAAATGCATGTTTTTAGTAACATTGACATAAAGTATATGTATGTATCCCAGAAGAAGGTGCAGTTGCTTAATCTCCTTTGATGCCTGTATATTAAATCTAAACCCCATGGAGCTAGAATACTGAACTTCAGTACAGAAAACTCAGTTGAAATCATTGCTTTGCTTTGTTGCTTCTGGGGTAGGTTGTGATCTCTTAGCCTAAACTACCAGAAGTAGTGAGGACAAGCAGCTATCTGAGCTCGTTTCAGGAAAGTTAGGATACAAAACTAATATGCGCTGTGTGCTTTTCCCCACCCATCCACTTTGTATATACCTTGTTGAAAAAGCACAGCAGGGTACCATATTTGCTTCTGAGTGTATGAAGTGTGTGGAAAGAAAATTGTGACCAATAAGCTTTCAAAGGTGTGAGGGCCACCCATGCCAACCTCTGGATCTTAGAGAGCTGTCATGGGGGAACATCATTTAAAAAAAAACTCCCGTGCCCTTTAGTGGACTGTTCTAAATGTAAAAATGTATGGGGGGCAGAGGTGCTGCCTGGTAGAATTGCCCCCATGATCCAGAGGGCACAAGGGCCCTTCTTAGGAAATTGTTTTACAAACTTGAAGAGGGGCTGGAGATGTATTTGGGCTCCTGGGTTTGACTGGATGCAACTTAGGTTTGCAACATCTGGGATAGGGAGGAACCAGATTAGAGTAGCAAGACAGAATGGATGGTTAATTTGTTTTGTGTTTACCATGTCTCATGTGCTGTTGCTGTCCAGTTGACGGCTAACAGTGCAACATTGTGATCATGTACGTACTACAATTTAAGTTAACAAATAGGCAGGCTTGTCCTGAAAATTAATTACACTTATTAGCTAATTAATAGGTGCTGTCATTTAGTTTAATTTAATGGAGGACAGCAAATTGTGTAACCAGAGCACAATTTGCTGTCCTCTGAAGATGCCGGCCACAGAGACTGGCGAAACGTCAGGAAGAACAACTTTCAGAACACGGCCAAAGAGCCCGAAAAATCCACAACAACCATTAATGTTTTTGTTTATTAAAAAGAGTTGCTTGAGTTCTATCTTTGGGAGAAAGGAAGGATGTAAATCCAATAAACAAATGCAGTAATGCATGGCTTGAATGGTTTATTTGTTTCATTGCAAAGTTAAACTATAGAATTCATTGCCACAAGAAATAATGACCACTTGACAACGGCTGTGTAATTTTTCCCCCCTTCAGCTCCATACATTTTAAAGAAGCTGGACAGCATATGAGAAGACCTTAAAGGATGGCCTGTGTGGGAAACCTGGGTGGACTGTGTTTGCGTTTCTCTGGAACAGGCTGCAAAGAAGAGGCTTCATATCCTGACAGAACAGAGCCAGACATTTCTTGGGAAGTTATAGAAGAGAAGGAGTATCAATAACTTCACCTTCCTATTCTTTCCACGTCTTACAGTGCTGTATCTTTTTCTTCGTACCAATGCAGTCTCATTCAAAGATTAAAATGAACCTCAGTTTGTTAAAACTGCTAACTTTAAACAAAGTGCTTTGGAATCAAACTATCTGTGATGTGTTACAGTGATGTCATCAGAACTGCCCCATTGGGATAGTTCTGCTATGTGAAGCCTTTGTGGTTAATCTTGAATGGTTTAAATAAAATGGAGTGTACATCTAAATCATAGTCTTCTGTAGTGTTTTGAAATATTTACAGTCAAGTCAGTTATACAGATTCTTCTATCAGAACTTCCACAATGCAGATTTTTTTTGATTAAATCATATTTTAGTTTCCATGTGTGGGATGAAGAGTGATAGAGTTTGTCTTTCCCAACGCAACTCAAAATCTGCTCCAGGGCACAAACACATTTCCATTTATACAGTAGTGGACTTTTCATTTTGTTTCCATGCTACAGGAGCAGATAAGTACAATCAGTAATTACTTTGAGTAGACAGAATGGTGTTTCCCAGGCTTCATTTCCCAGATTTTGCTGGACTTTCAGAAGTTTTGGACAGCACAGCCAATTATTTCAGAGATTCAGTCCAACAATTTATGTTTTGGGCACTTCTGTAGAGGCACTTCGAAATGCAAATACCTTGATGAATTACTCTTTCCATGATCCTTTCACCATTGTCGGGGCTGGTGGGCATTCCCCTCTACCAAACTTGGAGGGCCATGGGCTCCCGGCCCTGCTTTAGAGACTTGCCAAAATGCAGAGTTCAAAACTAACTCATGTGAACTTGTGCCAAACTTGAAGCTGACTCAACTTCCTGTGTTGTTTCTTTGTAATGATTTAGATGTCATTGCAAGATAAACAAGGAAGATGTGAATAGTGCTGGTAAAATTTTTTTCTTCCTCATGATTGAAGCTCCTCTTTGGCAGCACAATGAGAATAAACAAACAGGGTGCATGTGTTATCCAGTGCATTGAGTGAACGTTGGCTCAGAGCAGACCGCAGGAAGTACTTCATATGCTTGTGTGGTTTGCTGCTAAATGCAAATGTAAACACGAGTAGTATGTTACAAGTCAAAAGTAGGGAAGCCAAAGTGACATGGCTACTCCCACCTCTGCCATTTGAAGTGTGCTGGTGACATCAGCAGGGCTCTCAGTATTTTCTTTCATGAAGGATGTCAACAGCCACAGTAAATGAAAATGGAACATCCACAGTCAGAGGAGGGCACCTCTGAATAGTGCATGCTGTGGACTAAGGGGTGAAGGCAGCATCCTATGTGCTTTCTAAGCTTGCAAAATAGCTGGCTATCCACTCCTGGAGACAGAATGCTGGGCTGAGGTCTTGAGCTCATTCAGTAAAGCAATTCTTGCACTATTAAAATGATGGCAATCTTATTAGCTACTCTTTTGTTTATGGTGTCTCAAGCCATCTTTGTTTCTTTCCACTATTTTGATTACATAGCACTGCAAGATTATTGACAGCAAAAATCTGTGAAATAAGAGAATGACAGCTAGTGTTCCTGTTGAAGATACAGTTACATCAAACCTGCAGCATGTAGCTAAAGGCTGCTTTCTTTTCCCTTCTAAACTGAGCGAACAGGGTCTTGTTCTAGATTGGCATCCCCAGTGTGGGTAGGAGAGCTTATACTTGCCCCCATCTGTTTGCCCCCATAGGGTCACCTATTTTTGTGGACTGGTTGAAAAAAAAAGGGGGGGGGATTTCTAAAATCCTGGATATTTTTGGTGGGTACATTTCCTGAATGGGGGGCAGCTCAGGTGAAGGAAAGTTAAGGACCCCTCTATGAAACCAGGGGCAACTTGATCTGGATCAGGTCTCTGTTCTTTAGCATAGAAATTCAACATGCTATCCATGTAAAAGCCTGTACAGTGGTGCCTCGCTTAACGGGCGCCCCATTTAATGACGAAATTGCATAGTGATTAACTTTTTGCGATCGCTTTTGTGATTGCTTTGCAATGTTCCCTATGGGAAAAAATCGCTTTGCGATGATCGGTACCCTATTTCGCTTACCGATCATCGCAAAGCAATGATTTTTTAACAGCTCATCGGTGGTTCCAAAATGGCCGTTGGGTAAAAAAAATGGCCACCCGCTGTTATCTGGTATGGTTTCCTCGCTTACCGGGAAGCGAAGATGGCCGCCGTATGGAGGATTTTTGCTTAAAGGTGAGTCTGAAGCCCATAGGAACGCATTGAAAGGTTTTCAATGTATTCCTATGGGCTTTTTAATATCGCATAGCGACGAAATCGCTTTGCAGCTATTTTTGCTGCACTGATTATCGTCACTATACGAGGCACCACTGTACAGTACAGTGGTGCCCCACATAGCGATGATAATCCGTTCCGGAAAAATCATCGCTATCCGGATTCGTCGCTATGTGGAAATAAAAAGCCCATAGGAATGCATTAAAACCCGTTTAATGCGTTCCTATGGGCAAAACACCTTTAAGCGAAAATCCTCCATACGGCGGCCATTTTCGCTGCCCGGTAAGTGAGGAAATGGCACGAAAACACAGCGGGCGCCCATTTTTTAAATCCGGCGGCCATTTTGGAACCACCGATCAGCTCTTCTAAAAACATCACTATGTGAAAATCGGTAAGCGAAACAGCTTACCGATCATCGCAAAGTGATATTTTCCTATTTAAAACATCGCAATGCGATCACTTTTGCGATCACAAAATCTACATCGCTATGCGGATTCGTCGTTAAACTGGGCGCCCGTTAAGCGAGGCACCACTGTACTTAGGTCTGCAACAATTACTTAGTATTGCTGTATATGAAGTGGCCACCAGGTGGCTCCAGCCACCAGCATTTTTCTCTTTAAAAACTGGCAGGATGACAGGATTCTATACTTCATATCTGTAAGTCATGTAGATGTAGAAATTTCTTCAGTTAGTACTTCTAGAAATTTCAGACAAAAAAACAGAACATTGTGTTATGCAGCAAGTTATGCAAAGGACAGCCTTGCCAATTTTTTCCAGTGCAAAGTCAACTCTGTGATGGCTGAACTTGCCACAAGGATTTTTCATCATTATTTTTGCATTGGTTATGCTACAATTCCTATGCACATCCACTTAGATGTATAATCCATAGAATTCAGTGGGAGTTACCACTCTATAATTATAGGACTGTAGTCTATAGTGAACTGGTTGGATAGCACAGTAAGGTAGGGCCAGAGCTTGGGGAGTTCAATACCCCACTGTGTCTCCTGGGAGAACAGGCAGCTTGTGTGGCCTTGGGCAAACTGCACAGTCCCAGGTTGCTTTCAGAAGAAGGGAATGGCAAACCCCTTTCCCAAGGGGAAAAAGCTCCATTGTGCCCTCTAATGGTCATTTTTCTTTTAAAAAAAGTCGAGGTGCAAGGTAGTCCAGGAGTGCCCCCACCCCGAAAATGCTCTCATATCCTCTGACACAAGGGGATGTCTTGAGCAAACAGGGCATGTTTTGTTTAAGTTAAAATTATTCTTGTGGCTGGACTGCATTGGCACCCCGAGCTACCCATGACTTGGTCATTATACTTAGACTATATTTGAGAGTCAGGGATGTGGTGGCACTGTGGCTTAAACCGCAGAAACCTCTGTTCTGTAAGGCCTGTAGATCTTCAGCTGTAAGATCGAATCCACGTGACAGAGTGAGCGCCCGTCGCTTGTCCCAGCTCCCGCCAGCCTAGCAGTTTGAAAGCATGCAAATACGAGTAGATAAATAGGGACCACCTCGGTGGGAAGGTAACAGCGTTCCGTGTCTAAGTCACACTGGCTATGTGACCATGGAAGATTGTCTTCAGACAAATGCTGGCTCTATGGCTTGGAAACAGGGATAAGCACCACCCCTGGAGTCGAACACGACCGGACAAAAATTGTCAAGGGGAACCTTTACCTATATTTGAGAATACTGACAGGAAACATTAAAATATTTTTTTAAAAACATGCTTTTATTGAGCAATTGTTACATTAACAGCACAATCCATAATCATTAGCATTCTAGAAAAGGGTGTAAAAACTGACCATCAAGAGCAAGAATATTGAGCCATTTTTTCCTGGTCCTCGGCAAGTAAGAAAGCAAATTACTAATTCATTGGTTTCTAATCTGTGCTTCCGCTCTGACTCTTCAGAGGTAGTCAAATCACTTCTTCCTGGGGGTGAGAGGAAGGAGGAAATGGGATAATATTAGCTGGTGACATTCGCTGTAGATGTATCTTGACTGCTTACCTGTAACTAGAGTTAATCCCATTCTCGGAGGTATTCATTTGCAGACCCAGAGAGCTAGCGTGCTTACTGCATGAGCTACAGAGAAGCTATTTTAATTCTTTTAAATGCATGTTTTCATTAGGTTGCTTTCTGAACCGCCCTCATTCCCCTCAAAGTTCTTTGTTCCCACTTAAAGTAGAAAAGGGTGAAGGACTGTGTTTGGGATTTCTTTGAGGGAGACACAGAGAAAAGTTGCAACCAGCCTGCAGTCCTTGTGTTGCAGCATGCACTTGTCCAGTAAAGCAGGTATGAGAGACCCAGATAGCTAGCAATATACAACGGAACTAGTCTGGAAGGAAAATGGTCCTGCTTTCCTTCTGTCCAGGAGCTTCAGTGACCCATATATGCTCCTCCAATCATCTGGTTCTAACATTCCATGGACCCATCTCGTCTTTCCCACAGTCTTTTATTAATCCCTCTGCTGTCTTTGGTCAATTGACCCAATGTGTTTGCCTCTTTGGGTTTCTTCATTTATTAGAATGACTGTGTGGTGTCTTCCTTCTGTTAAAAGTAAATTCTGTATGTTACAGTCCTTCAGACAAGAAAACCCACTTTCTTTTGAAATCGTCTGCATATTTTTAAATGTTACTCTCAGAACTTGGAAGTAACTACCGTATTTTTCACACCATAAGATGCACTTTTTCCCCACAAAACAGGGGGGCAGAAAGTATGTGTGTCTTATGGAGCGAAGAAAACATTATATTTTCCTGTTTTCTTCTAAAAAATTGGTGCGTCTTATGGAAAGGTGCGTCTTATGGAGCGAAAAATACGTTACTTACAAGCAATGTAGTTAACTTCTAACTCAGTACTTTGGGGAGGGAGAGTACATGAGTGTTTTACATTTGAAAGCTGTGATAATTTTTTAAAATGAAAAAAAAAAAACCCTAGAAAAATTTCCAGTGTTTAATTTTTCTGCAGAAAAGCTGCCATTTCTAAAGGTAGAAAAATAAAATTCATAAAATTTTATACAATTCATTATTTCATCAAATTAATTAGTAACAATAGCTGGATGTCACTAGAAGAAGAGAGTGCCGCCAGAGAAATGGACTTATAATCCACTTCTTAGTACTTTAAACCAAAGAAACCCTGAAAAGGGCTGCTGTTAAGTTGGAATCAGCTGGATAACATACAATTGCTAATATTAAAACTGTAGTAAGCATGCTTAATTTTTCTCTTAATGAAATATTTGAGTCCAAACTTTATAGGCTGCTGGGTGATTAAAATGTTTGTTGAACAAGCATGCTGAATTTGATCGCACTCTAGGATGAGAAATGCAGAGTCAGAAGGAACCCCAAAGGTAATCAAGCCCAATCCTCTTGTTGAAGAAGGAAGTTCACAGCTAAACTATCCCCGATAGGTGGCCACCTAACCTCTGTTTCAAAGCCTGTAGTGAAAGAGAGTCTACCACCCTCTGAGGTGGTAAGAGGTGGTTGACCACCTCTTCCTGACAAAAACATTCTTCCTAATATTTAGGTAGTAGAGCCCCCTACTTAAGGCAATACAAATTTTCACCCAGAAAACTGACTTTAATGTTCACAAGAACATGTGATGAGTGGGAGCAACATAAGAATGAGTCATCTTTTCAATTTACTTCTCTGGAATATTCTTAGAAGTTTCTGAGTTTTAGCCTATTCCATTGTCAACCCTAAGTTTAAAAAAAAAGTAAAGAGTTTTTTTAAGTAATGAGGAAAAAAATAAGCAACTTTTGGAAAAATAAGGGATAATGTTAATGGTAGTGGGTTACCCCTTTCATGGCTTTGTAAGGAGTTATACAACATATTACTTCTAAACAGCCCTTTCCAAGGTCTGGTTGCACTTGAAGAAGGACTGTGCAGAGGAGCCACTGTCAGCAGGGATCCCACAGTGTGTGTAGCTCATGTCCAAATTTAGCCTAGAAGCACTTCTGCTTCCTGGCATGAGAAGACAGCGTTCACTTTATTTCCTTCATAGGAGGAAAGGTTAATGAAAGGACTCCCAAGTGCATCTCTAGGGCCATTTGTTGTCAAAGGATAATTCCTGCAACTGTGTGGTTCTTGGGCAACTGTATGGCAGGAACAGTGTGACCCAAAGGACAGCTTTCCCCTTCCCCCCCCCCGAAAAAGCCACTGGATTTCGCAACTTCTGTGTTCTGAGAATCATCAGAGCACTTGACTCTAATTGTGGCAAAAGGTGGCTTCCATGCTCTCCAAATGGCTTTCCTACAATTATAGGAAACTAGCAGTGATCACCTTTACCTTGCTGCTAATTCCTGTCTTCTGATCCTGGGAAATGAGACTTCTTATTTTTACTGTGCTCTAGGACCTTGATGTTTCCTTCTGCCTGTGTTTCTCCCACCATGTTTGTAGCATGACACTGGTAAACACCCTCATCTTCCTTTGTCAGTGGATTAATCTAGGAGGGAAAGCACGTACACACACATAAAAAGAGATCAATGTTAGTCGATACTGATTTAATTCATACATTTTACAACACAGGGATAGTTCATCTGTTATATAAACATGCAGAAACTCAGCATGATTTGTTCAAGACCTCATGGAAAGGATAATTCATAACTAACGTTATTTTATCACAATGTAGCGTGTATGGCGATATCCAGTGTGGTGTAATGAATAGAGTGACAGATTGGGTCTCAGGAGACCTGGGTATGAATTTCTGCTCAGCCATGGAAGCTCTCGGGGTAAGCAGAGCACCATGGGTAAAACCCTAAATATGTCACATGTCTTGAAAACCCTATTAGACATCACCATGTGACTTGGTGGTGTAAAACAACAGACATGAATTGCATGAAGAGGAGGAGTAAGTGTGTAACTTGTAAATATTCATATTAATCCTCTATAAATAGAAGAAGGCTCTTGGTTTGGGTTAGGTTAGTGGTTCTCAAACTTGGGTCCCCAGATGTCCTTGGACTGCAACTCCCAGAAATCCCAGCCAGCAGAGCAAGTGGTGAAGGCTTCTGGGAACTGCATCCCAAGAACATCTGAGGACCCCAGTTTGAGAACCACTGGGTTAGATAACATGAGGGCCTCTGCAGTTGCATCAGAGTGCCAACAAAAGGCAAGAAAACAGCAGCTTTAAGCATCTGAAAATGCAGTTACAGAAACTGAAAAGTAAAAGTGTCCATAACTGTTGAAAAATATTTTCCCTGGCATCATTTCGTACTCCTGGCAAGAGTCATCGGTCCTTATTCCTGCAGCCTCCTAGGCAAGAAGAAATGGGTGGGAGCAGGAAATGGAGGTAGGTGGCAGGAATAAAGAGAAAAGTGAGACTCTCTGCCCACTGTTGGCTCTGTTCTGGGCCACTCCTGGCTTCGACCCCATCAACCACTGACACTAAACAGCCTCTGCTAAATCCCGAGGTTTTTGCAACCTGCAACAGAAAAGCAATTCCCGACCACACTCCCCTTTCTTCCGGACATAAACTTACCAAAACCCAGCCTGTGCTCTCGTGTTTCGAAGGGCCACCTCGAACCTGGATGGCCATGTTGACTCTGTCTCCTGGCAAGTCTTCTAGGAGCTTAACTCCCTTTGGGGATTCTGTGACCTGGAAAATGTAACACATGAGCCCACTTTAGATACAGATGCAGGCTTTATGCTCAGATGCCATCGCTAGCCTCTCAGGCTTTTTGTTGAATTTTCCTCAGTTTCTCACACATCTCCTGCTAATCTTACCAGGTCAACTTTATCATCTGAAAATGTTAACCATCAGAACACACATCTCCTGCTAATCTTACCAGGTCAGCTTCATCATCAGACCCAAAATGGCAGAGAACCATCACTTGGCCATCATTTTTCAAAGATTTCAGTGTCATGTTCCTCGATGGGTTCACTGTATGAAAAAGTAATTTTATTTATGTGCCAGGAATAAATAGAGTGAGGACAAACTCCAGGCTTGGAAGGGGCCCTAGATTAGGCATGGGAAGGTATCGGAGGATGATGGCCAAATTCAAGCTATCAGGTAGAACTGCTAGTGGTACGGCTGGACTTCAGGGATGGAAAACAATTGTGCTGGATTTGACCATCCCACTGAAAATAGTGTTTTTCACACCTCCTGAGACTCGCTGGAAAAAGATCAGCTCTTTTTCACACAGAGAGAGGGGTTTTGGAAAGACAAATTGTACATGTAGAAATATGAATGACTAAATGAGCCTCGTGGCACAGTGGTTAAACGGCTGTACTGCAGCCAAAACTGTGCTCAGGACCCGGGGTTCAATCCCAGGTAGGTGGCTCAAGGTTGACTCAGCCTTCCATCTTTCCGAGGTTGGTAAAATGAGTACCCAGCTTGCTGGGGGGGGGGCAATGTGTAGCCTGCATAATTAACTTGTAAACCGCCCAGAGAATGCTTGAAGCACTATGGGGTGGTATATAAGCAGCACACTTTGCTTTTGCTTTAAACATAGACATGCTTGAAAGAAATAACCCCACTCTTTAGGGGGAAAGTTCCATAACTCAGGTAAAGTGGGCAAAAAAGGGAGGAAGTGTGGAAAAAAAAGACTTACAATTTTCAATTCAAGAAGGGGGGAAAAAGTCCTCCATTTGATATGAAACACAGATGGGAAGAAAATGCAGGCGGGATCCAGAGAAACACCTGAGATATTTCCACATCCCTGGTTGGTCTTCCCCAAGATCATTTTGTACTACAAATGTAAATTTTGGGGATGGGACTTTTCAAGTTGACCCAAATGAAAAAAATAAACCCATGTGTCCAGCTGTATCAGGCTGCTGGCTCTGGGCAAATAAAAGAGGTTGCCTGTTTCCTCCCAGGGCCCTGATGTTTGTTTAACTAAGATATTGTCTGTTGGTACCACGCAGGTTCGGCTCTATGAACATGTTCTAGACTCTGAAAGTAGGTCCCAATAAAGTTAAAATATCTCTTGGGGAAGGCTCCAAACTCTCCTGCATGGATTCTGTTTGAGTCTGGGTGCCATCAGATACTTAGGTTCGGGATTTTAAGTTGCTTTTTTTGGAGCATCCAGGGCACAGTCTGGTCCATCCTATTTTCCTTGACCAGACAACATTCCTTGCTCTGTATCCAGTCAGGACCTTTGTGGTTCAGTGGCAGGGCTGTTTTATTTATTTATTTATTTATTTTTGGGGAGCTGGGATGGAGCGATTGAGATTGGACTGCACGTGGATGGAAGGTTTTTTTTAAAGATTGCCACCAATGGAGTGACTCTTTTTTGCATGATCTAATGGGATTTTTTTTTCACAATTGGATTGCACCCTCACTCAGCAGTCCCTGCATTTCCTTACAGTGAACCACATCACTGCTTTTTGGCTGGGAACAGAGAGACACAGAAACATGGCAAACAGGATGTGGTGATGGCACCTGGCCTAGATAACTTTAAAAGGGGATTGGACAGATTTCTGGAGGAAAAGTCCATCACAGGTTACAAACCATGATGGGGATGTATAATCTCCAGGCTTAAAAGGAAGGTACCTCAAAGTGCCAGATGCAGGTGAGGGGTATCAGGAGACAGGTATCTAGTTGTCTCATGTGCTCCCAGAGGCATCTGGTGGGGCCACTGCGAGATGCAGGAAGCTGGGCTAGATGGGCCCTTGGCCTGATCCAGCAGGGCTCTTCTTATGTTCTTACCCCTTATCAGGCAAAGGTACAGGGTGCTGAGTGATTGGCCGCTTTTTCTTTACCAAGATTAGGAAGGACATTAGCATTGACATTGCCTTGGGGTGAATGCTGAAACACCTGCCACCCTGAACTTACTCTACAATTCTGCCACTTCCATTTTGAAACTTGCTTTCAACAAGATAGCTTGGCCATCAGATCTGGCTGTGATTTGGGGTGGTGGTGATTCTCTCTTTTCTTCTGCACCTCCCCAACTTCGTAGTGGCCAGTCTGATGAAGAGTTCTTCAGAACTCAAAAGCCAGCACCAGTTTGTGAGATTTTAGTGGTCTAATAACCACACGTCCTTATTTGATTAATGCTGCAACTATTTCTCCCTTTATCTCCAGCTGCCATTTCATATGCCCTAACTTCCAACTCTACTTCTCTTGTCCACTCAGGAACCAAAATCACTCACTCTATTCTATTCCTTCCCACCTGACTATATTTGCCTCAAGTTCATCACATCACCTAAAATTCTTCAAAAAGCTGTAAAGCGGCATCCTCTAGCCTGGTGTTTTCCAGATGTCCAACACATCTGGAGGGTACCAAGTGGAGGAGGAGAGCTGTATAATGTCCCAGATCTGCGAGGTACAATCGTCCCTGTCATTCAGTCAGCCTGTGATTGTTCCCCACCAATCAATTTTCAACAACACCCTTAAATCTGAAGGAAACCTGCCATAGCTACAGGAACCGACCCCTGTAAAATGTTTGCCTTCAAAAGGGCACTCCTTGAATATACCTTCTTCCAGGTGATGATGGGAGTGGGGACTGCTTTGACTTCACAGGAGAGGTAGACCTGCGCTCCAGTTACATTGTGAATCCATTTGGGTGGCACAACGATAGCAGGAGCTGGAAGTGAGAGAGAGGAAAAAGAAAGAAATTCTGTGTTTCAGAATTATTGTATAGAATTCTGCATGGTTTTATGGCTGGACCCTTTGGAATAATGCTAGTTCTGCAGAGTGGGAAATAGTGATTAAATATGTTTTTGTTAAGTTGGCCTACTACCAAGAATTGGACACTATCAGTGAAATCAAAATTTATTCAGTTGCCTCAAAGCCGTATGCATTACTGCTCTGACTGGGTCTTTAGCACTACTTGTGTTTACCATCTCTCAGATTGGTACTTGTTTGTTCCTTTTTAATATTTGTATACTTACTGTTTTAGATTTAATATTGTCTCTAAATGATGTAAGCTGTCTCCTTATATTCACTGTTCTTAGCTTTAAATATTATCTTTCAATGCTATAAGCTGCCTTGGGTACTTTTTAAGGAGAAAGATGGGATAAAAATATTTTAAATAATAAATAAATAAATATGTAAATTTGTTCTCCAGGAAAATTAAAGTTCAGCCATTCATGATACACAATATTGAAATTCTAACCTGTCACAGAGTTTAGATTCTTAAAAGCCGCAAATTCTTCCTTTTTGGTTTGTTAGGACCCCAGCCCTCATGGTTGGGGACATACTTTGGAAAACAGAATGGCAACGGTAAGAATAGGCTGGTCTTCCAGTGTGTGGAGCTGTTCCCTTCTTATAGATACCAGTCCTGTTTGCTCAGGAATAACGACTGTGGAAGCTGCTGATCTGCATAACTTTGCAATACTGAAGATTTTCAGATTTATCCTACACTTAAGCGTGACTGGATGCTTGTGAGAAATAATCCTTGAAAGTGGTATGATAGTTCACGTTTTTTGGAAAAATAGCGTCTAGAGCTGTGCTGGAATTTCCTGAGCCAGAATTATGGGGCCTTACCCCCTCTCCCAATCCCTCTCAGGTATTTGGCATGAATAAATGAGCAAAGGTTGCTCTGTTTCTGAGCTGCCATGTTGTGTGATGACGGAAGAACTGGCCAAGCACGACTAAGTTCTGCTGCTGCAGCTGCTCCAAACATTAGGGGTACTGCAGTATCCTGAGAGGCACCCTGAGCATAATAGACAGGGAGTTGTGAAAACAAAGCTGCTTGAGCTTCAGAAAGGATTGTTCCCATCCTTCACCTCTAAGGACTACCTGAGAAGGACATTCTTACAGTGCCCTGGAGTACTCTATTAAGAATGATGGTTGAATTTTGTAGTGGAAAAAATGTAACGGCCCAAATCCATTTATCTGTCGTATCACAAACAGCATAACCTTTAGAGGCAAATTGCTCCAAAATAAGAAGCATCTGCTTCCTAATATAAATTAACTTAAGTTTCCGTTTAAGACCGAACGATGTAATATTAAACTATGATTTACTGAAACAAACCAGTTTCTGATTTTGGCTATCCTTGTTTCAACAAGCCACCATTTAAATTAACTGTATTTCTCACATATAATAAATAACTACAATTGCTTTAATAGGGAAACAGATGCTTCTATTATCTTGCTAGGTTGGCAGGAGCTGGGACAAGCAGCGGGAGCTCACTCCGTCGTGTGGATTCGATCTTACGACTGCTAGTCTTCTGACCTTGCAGCACAGAGGCTTCTGTGGTATAACCCGCAGCGCCACCACGTCCCACACAGTGGTGGTAATACTTGTACCTAAAACATGTGTATGCTCGTTTTCCTTAAATTCAGACAAAAATGGCCAAAATCCTCTTGGATAACTATGCAAATGGCATAATTTTGGAGGCAAATTACCTCAAGTAATAATGCCTAGCGTGGCCTCTTATTTTGGAGCCTCCAAAATTTAGTCTATTTGTTCTATGACAGCTTAACTAGATAAAAGGATTTGGGCTGTTACATTTTTTCCACAATTCTTAGAATACTGAATAATCATCCTTAATGGAGTATTTGGGGGAGATGTAGGGAAAATGCCCCAGCAAATTCTTTCATCTCCAGCATGCTAAACTATAGTTCATTCATTCATTCGTTCATTCATTCATTTATTGCATTTATATGCCGCCCATCTAGACATAGTCTACTCTGGGCAGCTCACAACATACAAGATAAAAACAATTTAAAATATATATTAACAGTTTTTCAACAATATACAAGACAACAACAGTTCAGATTTACATCCAATAGGGCGTGGTTACATGTCGAAAAAACACTGGTTTTAAATTAGGTTCAGCATGTTTGAAACTAATTTTAAAAAACGTACAGAGAAGTGTGGGTTGTTGTTTTTTTGCCTAGGAAGCATAGTTTTTGGTTGGAAAGCAAGGTGATTTACTGTGAGAGGGCCATTGACTTTAAATCACTTGCGAAACTGCTTTATTTTGAAACGTTTTGGCATATGAAATGCCTCTGGTGATATAAACTGTATCCGTGGTGTTTCTCAAGTAATGCAGAGGGCCCCAACCCCCGGTACCAGTCCGTGACCTTAGCTGGACCGGGCCATGGAAACAGACCCCCCGCCCCATCTCCCGCACACACTCACTCCCACACAGCTGATTTGTGCATGTGCAAACGCTCCAGTGCGCCCGTGTAAGCACTGTGCCACCATTTGCGCATGTGCACGAGCACGCGCATGCAGAAGTGCTGCACTGCTGTTTGCACATGCATGCTCGATAGTTCACAAGAGAGGACGTTCATTTGCGCATGCAGACAGGGGGTGCCCTGCCTTCCCCAGCCGGTCCGCAGGATGAAAAAGGTTGGGGACCCCTGAATTAACAGATGCCTGGATCATGAGTTTTGGGCTGCAGAGCAACCTTGCCATCTGATTAGAGAATGTTTGACTGGGGGGGATGGAGAGTGCTCTCCCTAGTCTAAAAGCTGCTGTTATTTTTTCTAGTCAATTTCTCTTTGCCACTCACTGATGCCTTCCCTCTGACCAGCCTCATTGCCAGTTCCATTGCTCCCACTCCTTCTGCATCTCCCTGTGTGTGTGTAGGTGTGTGGGTGTGCCTGTGCATGTGTGTTGGACTTCAGGGAAACCTTGCAGTCTGATATATCTCAGTCATCCAGGTGTGGTTATCTGAAAGTTGAGTTATGTCAACTGGATTTAATTCTTGTGACTGAAGAAGCTACTTGGATGAGTAGCGAAACATTTCAATCTAACAAGAAAGAAGTCCAGTTGCCATGACTCAAGTTCCAGACTTACAGTCTGATTTTCCTTTCTATCTTTAATACTGATCTAGCACTACTCCAGTTAGAAAGAAATTTTAAAAATGAAAACAACACCACAGCAGCAATGGTAGACACAGGACAAAGCCTCAAACACAATGATTCTAAAAGCCACATAGCTCCCCTGAATGTAAAAACAGATTAAAAGTTTTCCCAAAGTTTGGGTCAGATGTTGACTCAAAAACCACATGCCTACCACGTGACTTTAAACCAATTTCAAAAACCCTGCCCCATCTCCTGACTTATTTTCGTAGTGTAATCACACTCTAATTTGGGTCAGTATGTCTCAGGTTTAATGCAACTGTGAGGCTCTTGAATGAATGCTATAGTTCAGTCAGTCACATAAGCACAGTTTTTATCACTGGAAGAAAAGCTCCTGGTTGGAGATAGGCAAGAATTTTTCAGAGGGATGGAAGTAGTTTGACTGCAAGTGGTGGGAGAGAGAAATTGTCTGTAAAGTGTACCAAAATCTTTTTTGTCTTGTTCATGCTTCTGATCAAAGTTGTTTTACAGAGTTTGGGAGCCATACCAAAAAAATCCTGTAGATCATGATTAAACAGAAGCCAAAATAAGATGCTCATAGACACACCATGGGCAGCCGCTCTTGTTTCAAAGCTGCTTTACCTACATGGAAGGAAAAATGTCCGTCTTGAATCTGTGCCGCACAAAGGGAATAAAACAGTTCCAGGTGCCTTATTTTCTTTATATTTCCCCTTTTTATTTCACGCAGAGTGCTTTGCTGGCTGTCTCTATGGCAACATTTCAGAAGGACAGCAAGCTTTCGCAAAGGCACACCCTTGCAAAATTAAGCCAATTTTCTTTCTGCTTTTACAGACGCCAAGAAAGACAAAGACCACCTGGATTCCCTCACCATTAGCACCACTTCCCTTTCAGATGACTATTATCACAGGAGGGCATCTTTGAACTGGCCTCTGAAAACACAATATTACGCTATTAGGAGAGATACCAATTTATAATGTGCTGAGCTCTTGGAAATTTATATGGTTAGCATGTATGCCAATGAGCTGGTACTACCATACCTGGTATACTAGGTAAGTTGGGAGAATGTACCAAACGCTGTTGAGGATGCCATCAGCTCGGGCAGTGTGCAGAACATGGGCTGCCTTGCCTGACAATGCCTGTGCTTGCCCATGCTGCATTTTTAAGGATGGGGGGAAATGAAAGGGAAGGCAGAGAAGATGGGGAGGGGAAAAGCAAAACCATCTGCTAGGAGAGTTCCTGTCTGTAAAATTACCACTGACAAATGAATATTTGTATTAACCCTACTTAACTGAGTCTGAAAGGAGATGAAGCATCCCATGCAGAATCCAGAATAATTCCCTTTGGATCCCAGGATTAATACCTGCTGGGTCCCTTCTGTTTCATGGGTTCAAGTGGACTAATGGCATAATTGTGCACACCTGCTTTAAGATAGAGTTATCCCTTAGAGATTTAAGCGCTCTCTCTCTCTCTCTCTCTCTCGCTCTGTGTGTGTGTGTGTGTGAGAGAGAGAGAGAGACAGACAGACAGACAGAGAGTCTTGGACTTTACACCTTACAATAGGACAGATGGCCATAACAGTCTGTGTATGTGCGTTTCAATTTACACCCATTTTTCCACAGGGGATTCTGGAAATTGTAGTCTAAAACAGTAATTCCTCTGTGCTTATGTTCCAGAGAAATGGGTGCTGTCAAAATTAGTAGTCAGCAACTCGTTATGGTACTTGCATTAAGTGCCCTGCAAATGCTTTAGGTTGACTTTGAAAACTGGGGTTACGCACCAGTTACGCACAACATTGAAGCCACCAGC